AACAAATGTATCTCTTTGTTAGAAAATATCACTAGCAGATGCATAGAAAAACAGTGTTGAGGATTTCAAGAAAGAAAATACAGTATTTAAATAACTTACGTGGTGTGGGGGCTTTGTTATACAGTTAGATGCTTCTAACATGGTTGAGCTGATATTTGCTAGATGATATTTCACTAACATAAAATATGAAGGCCTATATTTTTGTAATTCATAAAATAAAGATATTATAGAAGAAAATATATCAACAGTCTACTTCTTTAACAACAAAACGTTTTGTGGGAAAACAACTAAGTATAACTATCAGTGAAGCTAGGACTTTGACTACAATAAAGATTGAAATCTGTTGTAAGGTCAAGTTCACAGGTTGTGGCTGTGATTTCTAAAGGGCATGTGGTAGTCTCTCTCTCTTTCCCTACTCACCTGTTTTATAAATATTCCCCATAAACCACAGGATTTGTCTGGATGAGTAAAAGGAGACACCTAGGTTGTATCAGGTGGAGATTGAGCAGGACTAATAATTGCCTTTGCACCCACTTTCACTTCGTCTAGGAAAAGAGAAGCATAATCAAGGAGAATCAACTTTTGCTTATAGTAGCTATGTAATCTAATCTAAAATATCTTTTTAGTATTTGATCTGGGGTCTAGATATTTTAGAATTGATATCTCCTTATTTGGCAGAATTAATATCCCTAATTCCTGATTTTATGAACCATGTTTGCTACTGTACTTACAAGGCTCTTTGCATTCTTGGAGAATTTTAAACAGTGTTGTTTTGTAGAGTTTGATTTTAAACAGTAAAGATTTTCACTTTTAAACTATTAATAAACAATACCTAATTAAAAGCAAAATGCAATTTGTTCAAGGATATTTTTTCTTTGAAATTTTCCCTTTGAGAAACTACAAATTCTATTAAATGAATGAAAAACAATTATCTCAAAATTTTCATTAAAAGCATACTGATTTTCCAATTCCTTTCATTTGAAAATGGCCAGAGGTTTAGAAATTGAGCTAATGTAAAACTCTGGGATATCTCTTTGAATAACATTAATGCTTATAGGGGAAGAAAAGAACTGACAAGTTGATTCCTCTTTTTGGTATCTACAAATGGACTTTTGGGTACCTGAAACTCATTTCTCATGGAAACTATATGAGCGATGGTCGGTCTCCAGTTGACCCAATGGAACCTGATAAATATAATATATACCCTCATGTATTGTCAGTGTCCTTTTAGGGTATTCCTTTCTTATCCCAATTCCTTTTCTTCTCTAAAAATATTTCAGCTACTTTTAGGGGTAGTGTGGGATTTATGGGCTGAGTACCTACCCATCACATTTATTCTGGATAAGTGGGGTGCCCTGTTAATGTTTCAGTTGTGGCCTATAGTGAGAAGGTAACTTCATGGAAGTGATGTCATGGAAAACATCTCTTTTTAGGTATGCAGCATAGGAATGAGACTCGTAGACATGAATAATCCTAAATCAGATTCTGGACTCTACGGGACTACTAAATATCTATTACCTTCAGCGCTAATATGTAATCATTGTTACCACTATCACCACCACCACGAGCAGTTGCAGCAGCAACAAAATTATCATCGTTATTATCTATATGAAAACTTTGCTCTTCTATTAACAAGAATTTTAGAGCTGATAAATTTTAGTTTAACAAGCCATTTTTTATCTTACTACCCAAAATGAAACTAATCCGATCCATAGTTTTATCTTTATACCTTTATCACTTTGCTCTTTTCTTGTTGTAGTTTACATACAGCATGATCTATTTTAATCTAATTGTAGTTATTTGAGAAAATATTACTGAACTTATTCACTCAGCAAGTGTTTACTAAATACTTAACTCTATGGCAGTCACTGTTTTAGATATTTGAGATACATATTAATTGGACAAAAATCTCTGACACTTCAGATCTTAGATTTTAGTGGAAAAAAATACAATAAACAAAACAAATGAAAATTATATAGTTTGTGAGAAGGTGAGGTGATATATGCATTGGAAAAAGTAGTGCAGGGTTGGTGGATGAGGAGTATGGGTGTGGGATATGGTGACTGCAAAGAAAAGGGGTTGGGGTTGTCCTCATTGAAAAGGTAACATTTCAGCAAATGTTAAATGTATATTTCTTAACCAATATTACTATAATCACTAAGTCCAGAATTTATTTGGACGTAATTCTTAAATTTTTTTTCTATTCAGTGAAAACTTTCTGCTTACTGCACACTGAACTTCAAATGGATCGGTGTGTATATTATTGTCTTTAGAGAGAAGTGTTATAATTCTAAAAAATGAAGTAAGCATATTGATCATCTTAGACTGATTTAATTGCATTAGTAAAGATATTTTAATTAAATCTAGGAAAAATCTTTAACTTTGTACTAAACAAATGATAATTCAAGTGAATAAAATTGTAGTAATTTTCACTAGGAATCGTATCTAATTCTTTTTTTTGTGGAAACACAGCAAAATGGTACAAATTACCGAAGCATCTAAATTTTTCATTTTCTTTCTCTGAAGTTTATTTTAAACCACTTTCTCCCAAAAGGAAGTAATATTTGTATCTTTTTTGACTTGTAGGTCAAATTCAAAGTCAAATCCTACAAGATTTATTTTAATTCAATAGAATACTCC